ATCCTAAACCCTAAACCCTGAACCCTAAACCCTACATCCTAAACCCTAAACCCTGAACCCTAAACCCTACATCCTAAACCCTAAACCCTAACCTCTAAACCCTGAACCCTAAACCCTAAACCCTAAACTCTAAATCCACCAAGCCGTGGAGGGAAAGAGCCTGCTTGTCCCTGTACTCGTGCAGGGCTCGGCAGGTCTCTGCGAAGGAGTCGGAGGTGTTCTTGTGCAGGTTCGAGACCTCTGGGATACCCGGGTTTAGGGTTTAGGGGATACCCGGGTTTAGGGTTTAGGGTTTAGGGTTGGGATACCCTACAGGTCGAGCAGGGTTTGGGGTCCAGGGTCTGGGGTGTAGGGTTTAGTGTTCTTGTGAAGGTTCGAGGCCTCAAGGGTCTCAGAGGTTTTTATGAGTTTTTACAGGGCTTTGGGGCTTTCGGCGTCAGAAAAGTCCGTTTAAGGGTTCCTTTCAGGCATGTCATGCGGGTTCGGGTTCAGGGTTTAGGCCTAAGGGTTTCGGGGTTAGGGTTTAGGATTTTGGGGGTTTGCAGGGTTTCATAGGGCTGTATAGGGTTTCTGATACGATCCGATACGGTATGAGATGAGAACGATGTGATATGCTGCAGTCTGATATAGTGGAACAACAAGATATAATAGTGCTGTGGTATTTTGTGTTAATGCAATGCAATGAAATGCAATGCAATGAAACGCAATACCATGCAGTGCAGTATCATTTACAGTAATGTACCTTAATGTAACGTAAGCACGGCAACGAAAGCTGAGGTAGGGTAACATAGTTAAAACGGTGCAAAACAAGATATTACACAATCCGAAGTGATACCACAAAGTTGAGAGGCGTAGCAAAGGCTTAGTTGGGCTGTGGGCTGAAAGTGCAGTTTTCGATTCTGGTTTAGGGCGTTTAACTAGGGTTTGGAGTTTAGGGTTTAGGGTTTAGGTTTTACGGTTTAGGGTTTAGGGTTTGAGGCTCATGGCATAGGCCTCTCTCGCCCAAGACCCTAAGCCTGAACCCTCACTGAAGCCAAACCCCCGAACATCAATCCTAAAGCCCGAGACACTGAAGCCCGGAACAGTCGGAAATCAATCCTCAGCCGTAAACTGCATGAACTCCCCCTACTACACCTAAACCCTAGGCACTAAACCCAAATAGGCCCCTGTCTAAACGCAACAGGGAAGACTGTGTACAACCTACAAAGCCTCAGACTTGCCGTCAGACCAAAGCGTTCAAGTTGTTTAGGAATGAATTAAGGCTTAGGGTTTAGGTTTGTGTTGTTGGCTTTTCCGGCTGAGGAGGTTCGGCGCATTTTGTAAATTGTTTTTGTCGGACAGTGTTCTTTGCGGGCTCTGTTCCGACTGTATGTGCTACCGTTGGAGCAGTAACAGGCACTGTATGTGGACTCCCTTTGTCGAGTTTCGGCTTCCGCGGTTAGCATAGATGCAGGCTTTCTCGCTTGAGGCTAGATGTAGACCCTTGAACTATAGCTTTTAGGCTACAGGTCTTCAGACGTCCAACTTGTCTCGCTAGCACTGCCATCAGTAGGAGCATCGCCCCAGGTGACAAGGGTTCCATCCGAAAGAATGGCAGCGAAAGAGTTGTAGGTGGCTTGGATCTGCTGCACATTGGTCAACTTGTCCTGCACAGAGCCACTGTCGCCACCAAAGAGAGCATCACCCCAAGTCACGACCGATCTGTCGCCCAGAATAGCGGCAAAAGCCCCGGCAGTGGCTTGGATCTGCAGCACATTCTTCAGCTGATCCTGCACAGCAGTGCTGTCACCACCGTAGCGAGCCTTACCCCACGTCACGACGGATCCATCGCCGAGAATGGCAGCAAACGCACTTGGAGTGGCTTGGATCTGAAGCACATTCTTCAGTTGGTCCTGAACAGCACTGCTGTCACCACCAGAGTCAACATCACCCCAGGTCACGACCGAGCCATTGCCAAGAATGGCAGCAAAAGCGCTTTCAGTGGCTTGAATGTGCTGCACATTCTTCAGCTGATACTCCACAGCACTGCTGTCGCCACCGAAGCCAGCCGGACCCCAGGTCACGACCGATCCGTCGCCGAGAACGCAGCGAAAGCATGGCTAGTGCATTGGATCTGCTGCACTGCACCGCACTAGTGTCGCCACCGTGGCCAGCATCACCCCAAGCCACAACCGATCCATCACCAAGAACGGCAGCAAAAGCGCTTTCAGTGGCTTGAATGTGCTGCACATTCTTCAGCTGATACTCCACAGCACTGCTGTCGCCACCGAAGCAAGCCGGACCCCAGGCTACGACCGATCCGTTGCCGAGAACAGCAGCGAAAGCACGGCTATTGGATTGGATCTGCTGCACATTCTTCAGCTGAGCCTGCACTCCGAACCAAGTTTCACCCCACGTCACGACGGATCCATTCGAAAGGATAGCGGCAAAACAAAACCTGGAAGCTTGGATCTTTTGCACGGCTTTCAAATGACGATGCTGCACAGCACTGCTGTCGCCACTGAAGGCAGCACCACCCCAGGTCACGACCGATCTGTCGCCCAGAAT